ATATATATATTTTTTTTTTTATATGAAACATTCATATTGGGTGTGTCTGAGTGTTTTCTGTGTCTCTTTTGAATGATTTGAATGTGGCTCTGGTACCTTATTGGTGACCCCTGACGCCCACATGAGGCCACGTTGTATTTATGGAGTTCACCGGCTGACAGTTTTACAATAAGGACTTTGTGTGTGTCCTCATTCAGTCAGGTATTCTGAGAGATGATACCTTATTTTATAGCTGGCTTTCACTCTTCTTGATCTAAATTTTTTTCCTTTAAATTACTAATTTATCTCTTTATTCTATATTTGTGTCTTTCTTGGCACAAGCGTAATAATCCTCTCTACAGGTGTTTTTCATGTTTGTGTAAATATGTCAAGGTTTGCTTACATCAAGAAAGGTGGCTGCAGTTTACTGAGCACCATAAAACTTAGTGAGCTGTGTTATTTTACAGCATGGTATGGGTTATTTAGAGTTACTTGAGGCTGCATAGCAACACATTGCTCACCAACATGCATTGCCTCCTGGTAAAGGCCCCTTACGTGACTATAGACCCCGACTTCCGGTTTAATTAGTGCACTACAGATTTAATTATACTTCCTCTAAATCTCTATCTTTTCTGCCAACATGCATGTACTATGCATAAAAGTCAGGATATTGACAGTTTTGCAGCTTTGTTTCAAACCCAAAATGTAACTATTTAGTATGAAACACTTACACATAGCAGGTGGTTGTAAAAAGTACTGTACTGTAGTTTGTATCTTTGCTAAAATTATGGTTAGCTTGGATTCACGGCAGATGCATTAATAAAAAGTAAGAAGAGACTGGTGACACGGTTCATTTCAGCTCGGCTCAGGCTTTATGATCTTTTATAAAGTGCAGTAAAATTGTGTCCATCACAGTTTTCACAGAAACATCTGTCTTGAGGATTAAAGGTGTAAAAAAAATGAAATGAAACAGCAAGTCCTGATTATTTGAAGGGTACTGTAAAAATGATATGTGCTAAACACTAACAATCTATTTATAAAAAGCATTGGAGACACAAATTTAAGCTTCATCTGCCTGAGGACCCAAGTAAATAGCTGAATAATTGGACAAGCTCTGCGCTCAAAAAAAAATAAAAATAAAAATAACTCCTTTACATGAACATCTATGCCACATATAACCCCACCGCAACAGCTCTAAGTGACTCCAAAATAGCTCTGTGTACTGATGCAGGGAGACAGATGCTATTGAAGTACGGGTGGAGGACGAGTGTGTGTGAAGCCATACAATATTAATGAATACAACATTTCCAGGCTGATAAACAACCCAGATTCATTAGCCCCAAGAGAAGCTTATTACCCGCTAGCGAGAACCGACTTCTTCCTTTTGTGATACATTTAGACTGTGATAGGTGAGTCACACAGAAATAATTCTCTGTAAGAAATGTTCTGTATGTCTGTGGGAGCATAAGGGAGAACTTTCCTTGTTTGAAGAGTTTTTGCAGTATTATTTTTTTTTGGCACTGCAGTCTTGGAGCAGATGGTCGTGTGGATCAGTTGTTGCCTGTAGTCAAGACTGTGGTGACACCACTAGAATTAATGCTAAGTTGTATCACTTCCTACGCACAAGTAAGAAAGTATAGATATGTGAGATGGTGGAAGATATAGAGGCACATTTCTGCCTCTAACTCCTCTCATTGTCATCTCACAGTCAAGGACTTGATCTTACCACAGTGAAACGCCAGACTTACTACTAATTAGGTCTGCAATTCATGAGTCAATAGTGAAAATAGACATTTAGGGATGAAGCTAGAGTTATCTTATGCTGCTGAATTCCCTACCCCGTGTGTGTCTCTCAGCCCTAAACACATGGGTTCCTACTGAAGACATAAATATTTAAAAACACCCGCTGTGATCTGCAGCTTCAACATCTGAAAAGCCCAAATAATTTCCAAAAACAGTTAGGCACTGTAGTTTTTAGCAAAATGTACTCAAAGAGGAGTAAGTGGTGCATTTGTTGGTTGGGCACTTTCTCCCAGCTATTTGTTAATAGACATTTGGTGCACTACTGTATTTATGATGTGGGATTCATAATAAACTACAGAGCCCATGTTCAACACAATGTAGGAATATGTCACTAAGTGCAACTGTGTTTAATAGCTTCTGGACAATTGCATAATCAAACATGGACACATAAATACAATAGCAAACATCAGGAAATAGTAGCAGCATGTGTGTATTTAATTTATTTCCTGCCATTGTACATTGTGGCAATTAAAGAGGGCAGTTCCTTTAGTTTGTTCTACATTAAACTATATACTGCAACCAGGATTGACCAGGATTGTTCTTGATGTTGCATTGTGGATTAAATATTGTCTGCTGAGGCTGGCTCAGAGAGAGAGATGCAGTTACAGGATGTCTCTGCTAGCATACATCTGTACCCACGCCACTACCCACTAAGTACCTGATACCACATATTATGTGAAAAAATCTGATCTATCGCTTTACATCTGTGGCTCACTGGTAATTTAAGTAACGTGTCTGTTGATTATGTATCTTAAATGTTGACTATGTACATCACTTTTGTCCACCAGGTGATGTCCCAAGCAGAGGGCCAACAGAAGAACCTGGTCCAGTCCATTGACTCTCTACCTACCAGAGGCCCTCTCTCCTGTCTGGACCAGGACCTGCTGCTGCTCAAAGCCACGTCGGCTGCCACACTCAGCTGCCTGGGAGAGTGCCTGAACATCCTCCAACAGACCCAGAGCCACAGCCAGGCACCACCTCAATCCCAGACCTCAGAGCGCAATCACGCTGCCCACGGAGCCCCCTCCGGTGAGTCTGCCCCGGGCCCTGTTCCAGTGCTGCTACTGGAGCCCCCGACCCCTCCATCTCCCCCATCCCCCTTGTCTTTCCAGTCCCCCCCTCCAGAGCCCAACATCAGCGGCAAGGTCCAGCTTGGGCAGCTGGACTGTGGCTCTTGTCCCTGCCTGATGGGTACCATGAACTTCAATGTTTGTAGTAATTGTTGTTGAATGTTACATTTTAGTGTTTACATTGTTTGTTTTGTTCCATTTATGTTTTTTGGCATAGTTTGTAGTTGTTAGTGTTGTTCTGTGTTGTTTCCCATTCATTACTGTGTCTCTTCAATGTCGTCAATTGCATTGAAATGCCAATAGTTCCTTACAATGGTAGTGCCAAGTACAAGCTTGAATGTGAAGTGTGTATGAACATGAATTTATTGTCAATCTTGTTTACAGAATCCTTAAAAGCCTTGCAGACTGTCTCCAAACATGCATGTCAGAAAAAAAAAAAATCAGGGTTTATGTGTGAATAAGTAAACCTAAATATAATGACTAATACTATGCACTTCTAAATCTCCTCGAAGGATTAAGTCTTTGCCAAAGGAATCCACACTGGTGCCTAAAATGTCAGACCTCTGCCATGTTTAACCCTCTCTGTGCCAGATCACTATGGATCCAATAAAGTTGTTTCAATTTAAACCATTTGAAGCCTGAGGGTGGTTCTATTGGCATAACACCGAAGATTAGGATTAGGTTCCTAAAGGTGGAAGGTAGACCCCAAATACCGTACAAGAATAGACTTAAGAAAATGTGAAATTCATCAGACGTTGTGGACTAATCCTATTTTCCAAAGTAGATGGAATATTCAGAATCTATTAACAGTCAAGTTACTATAAAACAACAGCAGTGTTTTCTCCAGGAAAGAGGAGATGATATAAAGTAATACTGATACACTGAAAATCTATCTACCAAACACTTACTGCCTGTAGGCTTGAAAGGTGTGGAAGATGGCAGATGTAGTTTGGATTCACAGCAGTTCCAGTTGATCCAAATGGCCACCAGTAAGTTAAGGCAAGAAATATGTCATTTTGCCAATAGAAGTTTCTCAGACACCTGCAGCACAATCCACTTGGCTCATGGTCCATTTAGTTGCTGTTCTGGACGTTTTCACGGAGACGTAGATGTTCAAAATAGTTGTACTAAATGGCTAATAAAGCACTAAATGTGCTACTTCAGTGTCATACTATTGCCTCTTAGTAGTCCCAAAGCCCTGCTGGAAGTAGTGAAATTAACTACCGGTATTTATTGGCATAAGAAAAATTGTTTGAAGTATACCAGACAAGTGGATTATGCTGCAGGAGTTGTTTGGGAAATCTCTGTGGATGTTTTTGATGCTGTTTCATAAGTTTAATAACCGAAAGGATTAAATCACAGATACAAGCAGCAGAAAGGTGTTTCCTTCGCAAGGTGGCTGGGCTCACCCTAAAGGTGTGTTAAGACAGAAAGCAAGGCGAATTTGACTGCTGTCTTACAGTCTGTGTTGATTCACCCTAAACAGCCAATGTACTAACTGTGCAGATGTTAGCTGTAAGCTCACCGTGTGTTTGGGAGCGTGCCTGTATGTGTGTCACAGCTCAGCCACTCACTGATCCTAGACCTCACCAGAAAGTTATTTCTGATATTTCCTTCCAGTGTCTCTCCTTTTTCTTCTCTGGGCGGTTGGTTTAGGAAGCAGACTAGTAAATCCTTGGGATAACAGTGGATGCCTCTTTTCCTCAGATTGTGCTGCTCCATGCTAATTGTGTCTGTTCTCGCCCGCTCTTGTCTTTCCTTTGACTTTGTATGCATCCATGCTGTCTCTAAAATTCCCCTTGCTTTTTGTTTGAACACACCTTTAGAGATAGAATGAGGAGCTCAAACATCCTCAAGGCTCCTTGAGGTCGTTCAGGAATCTTAATGCCTCCTAGACACCTCTCTGTGGAGGTATTCCAGGGGCAAGGAACTGGGAGGATAACCTGGGGCAGACCCAGGAGATGCTGAAGGGATGTCATGTTCCTTCAAGCTAGGAAACCCTACGGGATCCCCCAGGAAGAGGTTGAGGACAAGGCCAGGGAGAAGGATGTATGGGCTACCTTGATTAACCTGCTCCCAACCCATCCCATCCCAAACCTGGATAAACAGGGGAAAATGGATGGATGGTTTTGACGCATGTTTTTGTCGTGACTTCTTGGTCCCCGTTGGAATCCATTGTAACTGCTGTGAATCCAAACCGCTGCCATCTTTTAAGCCCTACAGGTTTTTTGTGGAGTATTTAAGCCAAGAAGTCCACCTCCATCTATGACTTTTGGGGTCTGGGTTTGGGTGGATGCCGGATCCCAGCCAATCTGCCGGTCCTCACAGTATTTTGGTCTTCTCTTTGCGTCAACAGTCACCCTACCCTGTACCTGTTCATCAGACAGGGGGTGGTGTGGAGTGGGACCACCGGGCCGCAAGTACAACCCTCTTTCCTTCCGCTGCCTGGCTGATAAGTCCTGTGGGGGTCCAGCTGCTCCCCGCTTCCGGCATGTACCCCCCACACCTCAGTGAGGAGTTTTTTGTTAGGATCCTCGGTTTTGCTGAGTGATGGGTAGTGTGGCTCACCGGCATGGGCAGCATCCAGATTTAAAGCAGCTGATAAAGGGAGTGGCTGGCTGGTCGGTTGGTTGGTTGAATGGTTTTGTTACGCCCACACATGAAAGCTTTGCCACTGCATGGGCAAGATAACTCTTTGGTAGAGAGCCAAGCATGAGGTTGGACTTAGTTTGGCCGGCACGTTAGTCCCTCCAGGCTCCTATTACTACAAAACCAGAACAGCTTGTTTGAGTCCGCTCTATTACGTCAAGAAACCTGAAGGATCTTTGTAAACTCCCACCAAAAACCTGCCAGTCACAAACCAGACAGCATATTATCAGCTGATGTCACGGAGAATCTTTGCTGCTCGCTCTAGCTCTTTCTGGATCCCCCCTCCCCTCCCCTCTGTCACTGCCATAAAGAGCTTGATGCCTAACCTTCTGTCACACAGAACATTTTCCTTTAAGGAAATTAAAGTCCATAAAGGAAATTTACTTTGCAAACTAGTCCCTTTGCAGCTTAACATATACAGAAACAGAACATTTTTAAATAGAAAATAAAAAGGACAAAAGGAACATGTAGGGTAAGAGTTGGATATGAAAGCATCACAAAATCTGAAGTTATGTCACAGCCCAGAAATGGAAGGTAAAGCCATTGGAAACATCTACTGCATGACTGTTCGTCTCTCCACTGTTTGATCTGCGACAGCCTTTTGATTCACCTGCATGCCTCTATCCAATGGCCCAGACAGCCCCCTGCTCACTGAGTATTTCTACTTCTGGTGCTTCATTGTGACATCTCAGAGAGAGTAGATGTATGTGTGATAAATTGTCTTTTTGAACCAGCTACTTACTTGTGAAAAATCATTATTACAAGAATATACGCATGAACTATTTTCAGAAATATCTCCCTTAAAACTCTATCTTGAAATGAACTCTCAGGAACCTATTAACCTCCAAATATCTAGAGAATAACCTTTTACAAAAATTCAATTTTCACTGTATTTACAACTCTCTCACATCTCACTTGCCCTTTGGGCAGAGCCACCCCTGCTCATATCTCCACTGTATAGGTGTCCAGTGTTGTAGGAGGAGGTTCAGTAACACTTTTCAGGTTCTTGTCAGTCAGTCAGTTGACCAAAGCCGAGGTCTGGCCTGAGGGCGATTTCAGCACATTTTGTCGAGACAGACTCGCCTTAGGCTCACCAGCATTCTTGCTTCTCACTAATGGATATCAAAGAACAGCCTCTTGGTGCATTAGACTTTTGACCCAATTTGAGTGTTGGGACTGGAGATGAGAAGGGTCAGTTGTACTGCTCATGAACAGTACTTTGAAATGGGATCTACTCATGTGATGTATAAAAAGTTTTTAAAGGAGGAAACTTGCAGCTTAGTTTTCTGACAGGTCTGTTCGTACAGGAGACACAAAATACGATCAGAGCAATAGCCCTGCAAATACACAATTTGGTGAAGCATAATGTTTAGAGGGCTATCAGAGGTGGTAACAGAATTTAATGTCTCTTTTTTAAAGCTTTAGTTTGTGGTGGTGTTGAGCAGATTTCCACTGAGGAGCCTTTTAGTCAGTATTGTTCTCTTAAGTAATGCATGTTTTTCTGTGTATGCTGCGAGTCATTAAACTTGTTGACCTGTAATTCAGGCGCATTTTTGTTATATTGCATACATTTTATCTGGTTAGTTTAGTACTGAGTACCAGCACTTCTGATTTTTGTCCATGAGTACCCTTACTTCTTATGGAGTACCTCCACCTCTGATGAGCATTACCATACTTTCCCTATTTTTTTAAATGATGAAATAATTGGCAAAACATAACTTCACTTTGATGCTGTTATGTTGCATGCTGCTAGCCCCCTCTAGAAAGTTCTGTTTTTAAGCATCAGACTTTCTAAAACCCTACATATAGCAATGCTGGTGACACACTCCTAATGGATAAAAAAATGCCAAAAGATCTAGGATTATGTTGTGTTTAGGGTTAGGGTTGAGGTGAACTGGGATACTGGCACCATTTTTGGTTCAATTCATGATTTAATCTAACTTAATTCATTTGATCTGGTTTGGCTTTTTGGTCTGTACCATGGTCAGAGAGATGTTTAGCACCGGTGATTTTGGTTCAGTTCAAATGGGGAAGGCGATAAAGGGCTCATAGTCTTGTTGGTGCATCAGTCACAAACTTTTGCAATGTGGTCAGACGTAAGGGCTCAAAAATCATGATGACGTATTCCAAAGACAGAAAAACAATATCAAATGTTACCCCCACAGCATGTCTGAAATATATTTAGAGGCATTTTGCTTAACACCACTGCAAACTATGGCCTCATCACCCCCTGACAGTCCATACTGTAGGTGAATACAATAGAGGTTGAGTAGATTATGATTATTGATTTTTAAATGCCTGCAATGAGTGGCATGTAATTGTTTCAGGTCTCAGTTACAGTATTAGTCAGGATGTATCTTTATTATATTTCTTGAGAACATTTTATTGATTGTGGGCCTGAGTCAAAATGAATCATCATTTTAATCATTTCTGTTTCTGACTTGAGTTCAGTGAATACAACAGGCAAGGAAAAACAAATATTAAATTCAGCACAGACACACAATTTCCTGTCTAGTCTCTGTCAATCACACACCCTCAGTTCAGTACTATTTATTAGAACTTTAATATTGTATGTCAGAAATGAATAGGATATAGAGGTGTGATATGAATTTTCTCCCTAGACCCTCTTTGATGATTCTTCTTATCAATTTCAACACAAAATCAATCATTAATGCACTCACAACAACAGTACATGTAGTAGTAAATCCCAAGTATCTCTGTATTGTTGTTAACTAAAAGCCAGCAGTTGGCTCTGACACTGCCTTGTCATTTTTCAGATGGTGTTCCTGTGTGGACTGTACCAAAGTCGCCCTCAGGGGAGCTGTTGAAGAACGGAGGTCTGACTCCTCTACAATCAGTCGAGCCCTCCCCGGCTCTCAGGAAAAGGAGTCTGTCCCATGGTGCTGAGGTGAGAAACGTATATATTACCTGTCTTCTGTCTTGCTCTTCTTCCTTACCCTGTTGTCTTGGTATGTGAGAGATCTGAGTTTATAGTGTCTCCGATGTGGGGTCGAGACCACTGTAGGGCTGCACAATTAATCCAGGAGATACTGAAAATATTGTCTACTGGGATTTCTAACTGGAGTCTTTCTGACAGGGTTGGTTGGGTGAAAAAGAAAAATATTTTACATTCACTGGCTGGTGTTTAAGACATCGGTCCAATGTGTGTAGGAGATAGAGATTTTTACAGTGTTTTGCTTTTATTGGACTAGTGCAGTGCCCGTAGGA